TACAGAAGCTTTTTAGTTTCAGAAGGTCCCATTTGTTAATTGTCGATCTTAGTGCCTGTGCCACTGGTGTTATGTTTAGGAAGTGGTCTCCTGTACCAACTCGTTGAAGAGTATCTCCCACTTTCTCTTCTAAAAGTTTCAGTGTGGCTGGATTTATGTTGAAATCTTTGATCCATTTGGACTTAAGTTTTGTACAAGGCGATAAACATGGATCTATCTGCAGTCTTCTGCATACCAGTACCCAGTTATGCCAGCACCATTTGTTGAAGATGCTTTCTTTTTTCCACTGTACAGTTTTAGCTTCTTTGTCAAAAATCAGGTGTTCATAGGTGTGTGGGTTAAAATTAGGGCTTTCGATTCGGTTCCATTGGTCTACCTGCCTATTTTTGTGCCAATACCAAGCTATTTTCAGGACTATAGCTCTATAATAGAGCTTGGAGTCAGGTATGGTGATGCCTCCTGAAGTTCCTTTATTGTATAGGGATGTTTTGGCTATCCTGGGCCTTTTGTTTTTCCATATAAAGTTGTTTAATGTTCTTTCCAGGCCCTTGAAGAATTGTGATGGAATTTTGATAGGGATTGCATTGAATCTATAGACTGCTTTTTGCAAGATTGCCATTTTTATTATGTTGATCCTACCAATCCAAGAGCATGGGAGATCTTTCCATTTTCTGGTATCTTCTTTGATTTCTTTCTTCAAAGACACAAAGTTCTTGATATACAGGTCTTTCACTTCCTTGGTTAACATTATCCCCAGATATTTGATGCTGGTTTTGGCTATTGTAAAAGGTGATGTTTCTCTGATTTCTTTCTCAGTCACTTCATCATCTGCATATAATAGGGCCACTGATTTTTTGAAAGCTGAAATAGAAACGATAAAGAAAACACAGAATGAAGGGATGCTGGAAATAGAAAAGCTCGGTAAATGGTCTGGAACTACAGATGCAAGTATCACCAATAGAATACAAGAGATAGAATAGAGAATCTCAGGTTTGAAGACTCATTAGAGGATATAGAGTCGTCAAACAAAGAAAATCTCAAAACCAACAAATCCTTAACACAAAATATCCAGGAAATATGGGACACCGTGAAGAAGCCAAACCTGAGAATAATAGGTATAGAAGAAGGCGAAGAACTTCAACTTAAAGGTACAGAAAACATATTCAACAAAATCATAGAAGAAAACTTCCCTAACCTAAAGGAAGATATGCCTATGAAAGTAAAAGAATCTAACAGAACACCAAATAGGCTTGACCAGAAAAAGAAGTCACCTCACCATGTAATAATCAAAACATCAAACCTACAGAGTAAAGAGAAAATATTAAGAGCAGCTAAAGAAAAAGGCCAAGTAACATACAAAGGCAGACCTATCCGAATTACACCTGACTTCTCAGTGGAAACGATGAAAGCCAGAAGATCCTGGTCAGATGTCCTACAAACGCTAAGGGAACAAGGATGCCAGCCCAGACTACTATATCCAGAAAAGCTCTCAATTACCATAGATGGAGAAAACAAAATATTCCATGACATACCCAGATTTAAACAATACGTATCCATGAACCCAGCTCTACAGAAAATGCTAGAAGGAAAACCTAGAGCCAAGGAAGATAACTACATTCACAAAGACACAGGCAATATATAATCATACTTTACAAAACACCAAAAGAAAAAGGGAGGAGAAACTACACAAAATAACTTCACTAACAATAAATCAAGCACAAACAAGGATCACCAATCAATGGTCATTAATATCCCTCAATGTCAACGGCCTCAACTTGCCTATAAAAAGACACAGACTAGCAGAATGGATACGAAGACAGAACCCTTCCTTCTGCTGCATACAAGAAACACATCTCAACACCAAAGACAGACGTTATCTCAGAGTAAAGGGCTGGGAAAAGATCTTCCAATCAAACGGCCCCAAGAAACAAGTGGGCGCAGCAATCCTAATATCTAACAAATTAGACTTCAAATTAAAATCAATCAAAAGAGATGAAGAAGGGCACTTCATATTCATCAAAGGAAAAATATATCAAGACGAAGTCTCGATTTTAAACATCTACACCCCAAATACAAAGGCACCTACATTCGTGAAAGAAACATTACTAAAGCTCAAAATGCACATAAAATCTCACACACTAATAGTAGGAGACTTCAACACTCCGCTCTCACCGCTAGACAGGACCTCCAGACAGAAACTTAACAAAGAAACAAAAGAATTAATAGAAGTTATGACCCAACTGGGTTTAACAGACATCTATAGAACACTCCACCCAAATACAAAGGGATATACCTTCTTCTTGGCACCACATGGAACCTTCTCTAAAATTGACCACATAATAGGAAACATAGCAAATCTCCACAGATACAAAAAAATGGAATAACCCCCTGCATCTTATCAGACCACCATGCATTAACATTAGAATTCAACAATAACACAAATCGCAGAAACCCTACAAACTCATGGAGATTGAACAATGCACAATTGCACCATCCCTGGGTAAAGGAACAAATAAAAAAAGAAATTAAAGACTTCCTCGATTTCAATGAGAATGAAGACACAACATACACAAACTTATGGGACACTTGGAAAGCAGTGCTGAGAGGAAAGTTTATAGCACTAAGTGCCCACATGAAAAAACTGGAGAACAGTCATACTAGAGAATTAATAGCACAGCTGAATGTTCTAGAACAAAAAGAAGCAAACTCCCCCAGGAGGAGCAGACGCCAGGAAATAATCAAATTGAGGGCTGAAATCAATCAAGTAGAAACCAGGAAAACACTGAGAAGAATCAATGAAACAAAGAGTTGGTTCTTTGAGAAAATCAACAAAATAGACAAACCTCTGTCCAAACTAAACAAAAGACAGAGAGAGAACATGTTAATTAACAAGATCAGGGATGAAAAAGGGGACATAACAACGGACTCCGAGGCAATCAAGAGAATCATCAGGGCATACTTTGAAAATCTGTACTCCACAAAATTTGAAAATTTAAAGGAAATGGACAATTTCCTGGATAGATATCACTTGCCAAAACTAAATCAAGAACAGATAAATAATCTAAACAGACCTATAACCCCTAATGAAATAGAAGCAGTCATCAAAAGTCTCCCAAACAAAAAAAGCCCAGGCCCAGATGGCTTCAGTGCAGAATTCTACCAGAAATTCAAAGAAGAGCTCATTCCAATACTCGTCAAAGTATTCCACACAATAGAAGCAGGAGGCTCACTGCCAAACTCTTTCTACGAGGCTACAATTACCTTGATACCCAAGCCACACAAAGACACAACTAAGAAAGAGAACTATAGACCAATTTCCCTCATGAACATTGATGCAAAAATACTCAATAAAATACTTGCAAACCGGATTCAAGAGCACATCAGAAAAATCATCCACCATGATCAAGTAGGCTTCATTCCAGGAATGCAGGGATGGTTCAACATTAGAAAATCTATCAATGTAATCCACCATATTAACAATCTGCGAAAGAAAAACCACATGATCATCTCACTAGATGCTGAAAAAGCCTTTGACAAAATCCAGCACCCCTTCATGATAAAGGTCCTAGAGAGATCAGGGATAACAGGAATGTACCTGAATATAATTAAAGCAATATACAGTAAACCAACAGCTAACATCAAACTAAATGGAGAGAAACTCAAAGCAATTCCTCTAAAATCAGGAACAAGACAAGGCTGTCCACTCTCTCCATATCTCTTCAATATTGTACTTGAAGTTCTAGCTACAGCAATAAGACAACAAAAGGAGATAAAGGGGATACGAATAGGAAAAGAAGAAGTCAAACTTTCACTATTTGCAGATGATATGATAGTTTACATAAGTGACCCAAAAAACTCCACAAGGTTACTCCTAGAGCTGATAAACACCTTCAGCAATGTGGCAGGATACAAGGTAAACTCAAGAATTTTGAGTCTTTAAAGAAAAAAATTAAACAAGCCCTCAGAAAATCGAAAGATCTCCCATTTTCTTGGATATGTAGGATCAATGTAGTAAAAATGGCAATCCTGCCAAAAGCAATCTATTGACTCAATGCAATCCCCATCAAAATCCCAGCACAATTCTTCACAGACCTTGAAAGAACAATTCTCAACTTTATATGGCAAAACAAAAGACCCAGGATAGCCACGACAACCCTGCTCAACAAAGCAATGTCTGGAGGCATCACCATCCCTGACTTCAAGCTCTATTATAGAGCCGTAGTCCTGAAAACAGCTTGATACTGGAACAAAAATAGACAGGTACTCAAATGGAATGGAATAGAAAACCCTGAGATTAAACCACAAACCTATGAAGAGCTGATTTTTAACAAAGAAGCTAAAATTATACAATGGAAAAAGATAGCATTTTCAACAAATGGTGTTATCATAACTGGATATTGGCATGTAGAAGACTGCAGATAGATCCAATTCTATCACCATGCACAAAACATAAGTCTAAATGGATCACAGACCTCCACATAAATCCAGCCACACTTAAACTGTTAGAAAAGAAAGTTGGAGGTACCCTTGAACAAATTGGTAAAGGAGATTGCTTCCTGAACATAACACCAGTAGCACAAACACTGAGATAGACAATTAACAAATGGGACCTCCTGAAACTGAGTAGCTTCTGTAAGGCAAAGGACACAGTCAGCAAGACAAAATGGCAGCCCACAGAATGGGAAAAAATATTCACCAACCCCACATGTGACAGAGGGCTGATCTCCAAAATTTACAAAGAACTCAAGAAGCAAGTCTCCAAAACACCAAAGGATCCAATTAAAAATTGGGGTACTGAATTAAATAGAGAATTCTCAAAAGAGGAAAATAAAATGGCTGAGACACACTTGAGAAAGTACTCAACATCCCTAGCAATCCGGCAAATGCAAATCAAAACAACTCTGAGATATCATCTTAGTCCTGTCAGAATGGCGAAAATCAAAAACACCAATGACAGATTTTTTTGCTGGAAAGGATGTGGAGAAAGGGGAACACTGGGAGAAGCTGAGGTCACCATCTAATTTGAAATATTAAAAGTGGATACAAAACTATTTCCACAATGCAGACAATTAAGTGTGTTGTTGGTGGTGATGGTGCTGTTGGTAAAGCATGTCTCCTGATATCCTATACAACAAACAAATTTCCATCAGAATATGTACCAACTGTTTTTGACAACTATGTAGTTACAGTTATGATTGGTGGAGAGCCATATACTCTTGGACTTTTTGATACTGCAGGGCAAGAGGATTATGACAGACTACGACTACTGAGTTACCCACAAACAGACGTTTTCCTAGTATGTTTTTCAGTGGTCTCTCCATCCTCATTTGAAAATGTGAAAGAAAAGTGGGTGCCTGAGATAACTCACCACTGTCCAAAGGCTCCTTTCTTGCTTGTTGGGACCCAAATTGATCTCAGAGATGACCCCTCTACTATTGAGAAACTTGCCAAGAACAAACAGAAGCCTATCACTCCAGAGACTGCTGAGAAACTGGCCCGGGATTTGAAGGCTGTCAAGTATGTGGAGTGCTCCGCCCTCACACAGAAAGGCCTAAAGAATGTGTTTGATGAAGCAATATTGGCTGCCCTGGAGCCTCCAGAACTGAAGAAGAGCCGCAGGTGTGTGCTGCTATGAACGCCTCTCCAGAGCCCTTTCTGCACAGCTGGTGTTGTCATCATACTAAAAGCAACGTTTAAATCAAACTAAAGATTCAAAATTAAAATTCATTTCTGCAGTAATGACAAGCGCCCTGCACCTACCCCATGCACTCATGTGAGACAAGGCCCATTGGTGTGGCTCCCTCCTTGTCCTCCCAGTAATAGTTAATTTTGAATAATTGTGTATTGTCTGAAAAGTGAAGAGTGTTAGTTTTTGTTTCCTTGTTTAAAAAAAAAACAAAAAACAAGATCCCCACCAAAAAAAAGAAAGGGGAACACTTGTCCATTGCTGGTGGTAGTGCAAACTTGTACAGCCAGTTTGGAATCAGTATGCAGATTCCTCAGGAAAATGGGAATCAGTCTACCACAAGACCCAGAAATTCCACTCTTAGGCATATATTCACACAACAAGGGTGTCTGTTCCACTGTTCATAGCAGCATTACATGTAATAGACAGATCCTGGTAGCAACCTAGATGCCCCACAACTGAAGAGTGGATAGAGAAAATGTGGTACATTTACTCAATGGAGTACTACTCAGTGGAGAAAAACAATGGAATCTTAAATTTGCAGGCAAATGGATGGCACTAGAGGAAACCATCCTGAGTGAGGTAACCAAGACACAAAAAGAGAAACATGGTATGTACTCACTCATATATGGATTTTAGATATGGATCAGGGGAGTGTCAGCCTACAATCCCAGTGCCAGTGAGTCTGGGAAACAAGGAGGTTCCCAAGAGAGATGCATCGTATCCCAGAGAAGTGAAATGAGGCAAGATCTCCTGAGCAGATTGGGAACATCGGGGGAGAGGAGAGAGAACCAAGAAAAAGACAGGGGGATAAGATGAGGGAGAAGAAGGCATGGGGGAGCAGGAAGGTTGAGTCAAGGTAAGAATAGAGGAGAGTAGGATGATAGATACCATAATAGATCGAGTCATTATAGGCTTGAGGAGAGAGCTGACACTAGTGAACTCTCCAGAGATCTACAAGGATAATACCAACTGGCAAACTAAGCAATAGTGGAGAGACTACACTAATAGCTACTCCTTGATGATAGGGTTGATAACTACCCTATATGCCATCCTAGAACCTTCATCCATGGACTGATGGAAGCAGAGACAGATACCCACAGCTAAACACTAAACTTAACTCCTGGAACCTAGTGACAGAGATGGAGGAGTGATGAACAAAGGAGTCAAGACCATGATGATGAAAACCACAAAGACAGCTTACTGGAGAAGGGGGAGCTCTTAAATCCCAGACTGATGGCTGAGAGGCCAACAGTGGACTGATCCTGACTCCATGAATGTAGTGCCAGGGAGGAGTCCACAGAAATCACTGGGGCCTTGGGTAGTAGATAAGTGTTTACCATGGTTTATGAATGAGCTTTGGGAGCCCATTCCAAATAGAGGGAAACTCACTCAGCCTGGGCACATGGGGAAGGGCATAGGTCCTGCCTTGGATGAAATGACAGACTTTAGAGATTCCCCCACGGAGGGCCTCACGCTCCCTGGGGAATGATGTGGGGATTGGGTGGGAGGCTGGGGGGCTGGCAGAGGAACAATGGAAGAGGGCCGGAGAGGGAGCTGGGATTGACATGTGAAGCATTCATATTTCTAATTTAAATAAAAACATATATTGAGAAAAAAAGAAAAAGAAATCTTAGCAAATGGCCAACAGCTTCATAATTAATATAGTCTTGTGTGTTGTTTGTGGGCAGAGACAGCAACAGGACCCAGGCAGCTGATGGGAAAGAATACATATTACAATTCTCCTTTTGTGATGTCTATAACACTCTTGTTCACATTCCCAAAACTCACTCCATCCTACCACAAATACACTAGAATAACTATGTTCACCATGTCTTTCTCCATTATAGCAAGAACTGGAAATAACCTAGACGTAACTCAGAGACTGATAAATGGATAAAGAGAATGTGATACATTTACACAGCAGAGTATTACTCAGCTGTTTATAAAAAAATGATGTCATGAATTTTTCAGTCAAATCAATGGAACTAGAAAAAAATTTCTCAAGTGACCAAACTCAGACTCAGAAACAAAAACATGATATATGCTAGGCAGTAGTGGTACACACCTTCAATTCCAGCACTCTACTGACAGATGCAGACAGATTGCTTTAAATTTGAAGCTAGCCAAGGCTACAAAGAGAAACCTGGTCTTGAAAACAAAACAAAAAACAAACAAAACAAAAAAAGAAATATGATATATACTCATTTATAAGTGAACATTGACCAATTAATCAGAATCATTCTACAATACATAGCCCAGTGATGCTAAGGAACAAGGGATCTTTGGGCTGGGGTACATGAATAAATAGAATGGAATTTGAAGGTAAACTGAGCACAGAATGTGAAGAGAACAGGATGGGTCAGGTGGGAGAGTGAGAGAATGAGAAATGACTGAAATTGTTGGGTACTTTGGAGATAATATGGAAAACCAGTACAGTAGAAACTCCCAGGATTCTTTTTAGCTTGCTTCACTTGTGAATCCCAGCTCCCTCTCCCTCCCTCCACACCCACCACCAATCAATCCCCCCCCCCCCCGACCACTCCACAGGAAGAGTGAGGCCTTCCATGTGGGATCTTCAAAATCTGTCATATCATCCCGAGTAGGGCCTAGGTTCTCCCCCATGTGTCCAGGCTGAGAGAATATCTCCATGTGGAAGGGGCACCCAAATTCCATTTGTATGCCAGGGATAAATACTGATCTACTATCTGAGGCCCCATAGTCCTCACTGACTCCCATGTTCAGGGGGTCTGTATCAGTCCCATGATGGCATCTCAGTTTCCAGTCTAGGGTCCATGAGCTCCCCCTTGTTCAGGTCAGCTGCCTCTGTGAGTTTCACCAGCAGGGTCTTGACTCCTTTGCTCATCACTCCTCCCTCTTCGCAACTGGGTTCCAACAGTTCTATTCAGTGTTTAGCTGTGAGTGTCTGCCTCTGCTTCCATCAGCCCCTGGATTAAGGCTCTAGGATGACATATAAGGTAGTCATTAATTTTATTATCTGAGAAGGGCATTTAAGGTAGTCTCGATGACTGTTGGTGTCATCCTTATAGATATCTGAAAATCTCACTAGTGCCAGATCTCCCCTCAAACCTATAATGACTCCTTCTATTATGATATCTTTCATCCTTCTCTCCACAATTCTTCCCCTGACTCAACCTTCCTGCTCTCCCATGTCCTCCTCTCCCCTCCTCTTCTTCTCCAGCTTTCTGCCCATTTCCTTTCCCCTCCCCTGCCTGCTCCCAATCCCCTCAGGAGATCCCATCCCATTCCCCTTCTCTGGGGTACTATGCATATCTTCCTTAGGGTCCTCATTGTTTCCCAGACTCTCTGCCCATGGGATTGTAGGTGGGCAATTCCCTGTTCCATGTCTGAAATTCATATATCAGTGAGTACATACCATGTTTGTCTTCTTGTGACTTGGTTACCTCATTCAGGATGGTTTCTCCTAGTGCCATACATTTGCCTGCAAATTTCAAGATTCCACTGTTTTTTTTCCACTGAGTAGGACTCCATTTTGTAAATGTACCACATTTTCTCTATCCACTCTTCAATTGAGGGGCATCTAGGTTGCTTCCAGTTTCTGGCTATTACAAAGCTGCTGACTCCCAGACCCAAACTCCAGTTCTCCCAAGATGTGCATGCCTGACTTCACGTGAGCTTGGGTCCTCCAGGGGAAACAATCCCTCCTTGCCACAACCTCCCTGGATCTTCTGTGGGCTGCTCTTGAAAAACATCTTCAGCAAAGTAGCAGGATCCAAGGTTAACTCAAGAAAAATAAGTAGCCCTATTATATACAAATGATAAGTGGGCTGAGAAAGAAATCAGAAATATCACCCTTTACAATACCCACAAACAAC